CCGGAGCATGACGATGCATACGAGCAGGGGGGCTATTCGATATTCTCGTAGCATTGCATGGGGGTGGTATATTGCGTATATATGCGGGATTTGCAGTGACGAACTACGGAGGAACAAGAAGTTTCTTTATGTTTTCCTTGGGAGTGTGGTAGATTGGTGGACATTTATGGAGATTCGTTTTGGGTGTTTGAGCGTTATGCGTGACTTGATGCCGTGATGGAATGACGAGCTCAAGCACGCCCCCGATGAATACNAACCTGAATTAATTATCGATCAGCTGCAACCCCTACATTGTCTATACATTGTCTCTCTTGTGAGCGTAGTGTATGTAGTAGTAGTATGACAGCAGCAGCAGTACTTCTGCTGTAACGACACAAATATACGTGTAGTACTACTGTATGGAACATGTACTGCATATTGTCAGTAATATATTTACCAAACAAGGCCCACCACCCTAGCCCACACACACACACACACACACCTTGTCTCTGATCTAGACGCCGGAGCCATTTCTACCCCTTTGCATGAACATATGAGGCTGTCGGAAACCCTAAAGAAGGCTCGATTGCACACAGGGGTGCCCGCCGCGATCATGCGTCCCTGACTTAGCTTCGCGAGGGGGACGTGCTCGGCGACGAACCTCTTGCGGTCTTCCACTCGCGTGAACCCTTTGAAAATGGTCTGCTCCCGTTCCAAGAATCCCCGTCGTGGCGAAAGCTGTTGTTGTTGTTGCTGCTGCTGCTGCTGCTGTTGTTGCTGTTGCCGGCGCCGCCCTCGTCATCATCTCTACCCCCTGCCGCCGTTGGCGAACAGCTCGATGCATTTCAACCTGCAGCACGGCAACTGCTGCTGCTGCGGCGGTTCGTTGCTTGTTGCCTTCATGCGCTCCCAATACTCCTCCGCGGAATGTGGTTCCCCCCACTTTTGCTTGGAACGCTGCTGTTTCTGTGGAGCCCCGGGGGTCTCTCCCGAGTCATCCTGTCTCCTGAAAAGGGGAGTCGTCTGTGCCCTCTTCTGGCCCCTCTCTTCCCCCTCGCGCCGCCGGCGCGCTTTGCCCGCTGGGGTATCTGCTTCCCCGAAGAGCCATGCCGCAGACTCCGCCCCGGGCATGGCTTCATTGGACGATTGCGTGTGCCCTTGTTTCCTCGGTTGCTCTGGTGCGTGTGTGCGTGTGTGGGTTTCTTGAAGGAGAGATCCCTTTATCGTACCTCTTGCGTCGTGACCCGGGAAGAGAGAGCGGTAGAGCAGTCGATCATTGATTTGTCATCAGAAAGCAGTCGTCTTGATTACAGCGATCAGAGCTGCGCTTTGTGATCAAACTGACCATTGAGAGAGGCCGGACAATTAATTTAATCATTTTGGAGGCCAGAGATGCCAATTCGGTAACTTCGGAATCGATCGCGGTCTGAACCGACACGGGAACGTTTCCGCTCAGACCGAAAGAAAAAACGCTCGTTCTAGCAACGATGTGATTCGTTTGGAATTGAATCGAACGGAAAAATCGTCGAAAATATGAATATAATCCCGACGCCCCAAATTTGGGTCGCTACGGTTCCGAGTTTCATCGCTGCGCTCCTGAATCAACGACACCCTATTTCTCGACCTGTAAGATTAGGGAGTCCAGGGGAGAGGTAGGGCAACACCACTCCTTCTGTTCCACATAATCAACGGGAGCACCATGAATGCGTACGTAGCATTAGACTCGTAGGAGGCCCGTTGATGCCCGTAGCCGCGTGGCGTGCCGACACCCATCAACCAAACAATCGTACATCCCCCTCTGGCCACCGTTTGTTGTCACGTTCCTCCTCTCTGGCCCTGCCACGTGGGTTCAAGGCTCCTCCGACTGACCTCATCATGGCCAGCGGGCAGCGAGGACGAGGCCGTCGTGCTGTTGGTGGCGGTGGTGGTGCTTCGTCTTGTACGGGTGACCACGGTGATGATCCGACGAGCGCAACAAACATCGGCGAGGTCTTGGCTTCGCACTGCGTGAAGGAGCGGGACGTGCAAAGAACATCACGTTGTTGGCGGAGAAAACCAGGCAAACCAGCCCGACCGCGGTGTAGGAAGTTATCCAGAGAATCCAATCTCATGGATGGGTGGATAGCTTTCCGTGAGTGATGTTCTCGGATCTGGCAGAAGGGTAAGAGATGACCGTCGAGCTCGCGGCTACGCTACATGCCGTCGTCATCGATGGAAATCATCGCTTGGCTGCCTGCAAGGAGGTGTACGGAGAAGATCGGCTTATCAGGAACACATTCTACCGGTTCATCGCGGATAGCTTCGCCAGGCAAATCGCCTCTGACGGTGAGATGGAAGAGTGTACTCTCCACGTTGGATGAAGCAAACACGGTCTTCTTGGGAAGATGTCTGTATTCTACACTCACTCTTATGAGCACTCCTGCTCTCAAACACATCTTTCGCCTCTCACGCTTCTCCATAGGAATTGGGTCGGAATATTGTACTTTGGAGGGTATGGTGTGTGTGTAGCAGTCGAGGTGTCAGACGANCCTCTCCAAAGTGGATGAAGCAAACACGTTCTTCTTGGGCAGACATCTGTTTTTTACACTTGTGACCTGCTACTACGTACATGTAGTCTATGCATGTATGGTGTGTGTAGCAGTCGAAGTGTCAGACGATAATGTTACAACGGCAGCAGCAGCAACGAAGAGATGAGCACGTCGCTGCTCGCGCGCCACTTCACGTGCGGAATTAACCAAACTAATTATCGATACCACGAGGAAAACAGCAGCACTGCAAGGAGAAGACCAGCATACGATGTACCCTTTTGAGACACTCCAAAGAATAAGACCAATAGTTGGTGTACTGCGGTACAGCAGTTCCTGGCACAACGACAAGGTCGTGACGGTAGTGACTCCTCAATAACGCACCTAAAAAATTCCAATGGATCGGTGATTCGTATCCTGGGCCACCGCTGCCGCCGCTGCTGTACACCCCAGTGTGCAACGTCACGACGGCCCCGTTCCCAGCGCGGACACTCTACGATCAGCTCTATTTCTACAATAATAGGATGATGAATTCACTGATGGCCCAGGGGAGCGAGTCATCATCAGCTCGCCGGTGGTCTTCCTATATTCATTCGAAACCGTCTGTCACCGCGGCTAAGCTAGGGGCGTGCTGGAAGGGGGTGAGTGCGACTGACACATTATTTTTGTGGCACACTCATCACCTTGTCACCGTGTAGTATTTTCACTGCATCCACTCTTCCAGTTGGTTGTCCCGTATCGCTATTGGTGAAGTATGCATCGATATTTCTGGTGGGTGATTCTTCCTGTAGCCTGTCACCGACGTCAGGCCATGTTGCGGTACAAGCACCAGTATTTTCTTATTGTAACAGTGTTTTCTCTGCTTCTTGCTGCAATATTCAGGCTGGTAGCCAGGCACCGGCAGCCAACACATTTCGCCAGTGGATTTCTGTCGTCAACGACTCGAGCCAGGAAGCACCGGTGGTGCTTCGTGCTCTGACAGCACTAAGCACCAGGGCATGGGAGTAACGGAGTAAACAGGACAAAGAGGCGGAAGATGGGCAGACAACCAGGCGTACAAAAACAAAGGCAACAGCAAAGCGAGGTCATCAAGGTACCCAACACAGCAGAGTAGGCAGGGAGGTCATGAAAAAACGAAACACAGAAACACAGCACAGAGGCCGAAGGCAATACAAAGGACATAAATAAAGGAGAATAGCATACAGCAGGGAGGGAAACAACATCAGCCGGGTACATAGTTCGCCACAAGCGCTGCCTCGGCCGCCCTACTCGCTTCTACAGCAGTGCCCGGTCGCTGTTTCTTCCCCCCCACCGCCGCTTCCCCGGTTCTGTTTCTCTTCGGTCCTGAGGTGGTCGTACTCTCTGCTTCTGCTTCCCTCGCGCGTTGGCGCTTCGCGGACGCTTCCGCCTCCTGCCTGTGCCATTTCCTCATGAACCATGCCGCCCCGTCCTCGACCTTGTTGTACCACACATCCGGGTCCTTGGCGCTCTCTTTCCATTTACCTCCTTCCTTTTCGTCTCCCATGTTGAAGGCCACGAGGTCCTCTCCTAGACGAGACACCCAGTCGCTCTCCTGCCCGCCCCGGTATCCCACGCCCCCCGACATCGCTCCTAACAGCATGCGCTTGGGGAGGCGGCTGTCCTCCATGCGCATAACAAAGCCCGCGAAACACAGTCTCCGTTTGCGCACGGTGACCTCGATGGTTTCCTCGCAGCCTGCCTGGATGAGGGCCTGGGCATAGGACAGGGGGCGGTCTGAGCGTTTCCGCTTGCTCCAGCCGATGCACCGTGTGAGGAACTGGCGGTGGGTCCCATTGAGCTTCGTGTAGGGCTCCGCTGTTAGGCTCCACGAGGCGTGTTTGACTATGGCCGCCCTGTTCACGCTTGTTGTCCCTCGTCCCCCTTTCTCTTCGCTCCCCTCGCCTTAGCTATTCGTGTTGCGTCGGCAAATTTCGCCATACTGGTGGGTGCACGAACACCGACTTTTCGGAGGACGGCGAAACGTCGAAAGTGAGAGACGGCAAGGACTGCCACCTCAGCAAGCAGCCACAGCAGCAGCGACAGCAGCAGCCAGAGGAGCCAGAGGAACCGCAGGGTACTGAGGAGGGGGAAGAAAAGCAGCAGGATGCCAGCAAGCGCCCCGCCTCAGGACTTTGGGGAGACGGGGAGGACCGCGGTCCGTCTTCCCTCTCCGGACAAACCGGCGGGTGGGATAAGGGAAAGAGGCCCAGCAGGGACCCAACGCCCTCGTCACCGGCACCGACGTTGCCCACTCTCCCGTCCTCGCCTGGCGGTACGGGTGACGACATCAAAACCCTACGCAGGTACTGTGACAATGAATGATGAAGGCGCGATGTACACTACTAGTACAATTTCCCCATGATTCCCTCTCGAGCTTGATGGTTGACGCTAGGCCCGAAGCAAAAAGAAATGAACAAACGAATCACCCTAATTCTGGCATATTGCTTCTTGTTACCGTGGTTTCCATGCCGCACGCCCTACCACCCACTGCTTGCCGTCGACATGGCTGAGTGCATCCGCATCAACGACGTCATGCCGCTTAGTCGTGATTTCCGCGTGGAAGGGTCCGACGCTGCTATCATGGTCGACGGTGACACGGCCATGCTCTTGTTCGTCGCTCTAAGTGTGAACGACGATCTGGTCAGGGAAACTGCTCCCTGGAAAGACCCCCTCTGCAAGATCATCCACCGCGTGTGCGACTTCTTGCACGAGCAAGCCACCATTATCGTCCACATTCTTCACTCCTACCTACACCATGGTCAGTGTTGTCCATTGTTTGTTTTCTCCTCGATGAGCTTTGACATCAGCATGGTCGTCGTCGTCTCGCTTTCGAGTTTTTTTGTAGCGGGGAATGACGTGGAGTCTAGCGGGACTATCTGGGCGCGAAGAAGAAGACGCACCCGATGCCCTTTGTCTCCTTCGTCACACACGGACTAGCAGGCGCCGTCCTTCTTCGATTGTGTCTTGTTGCTTCTTGTTTTCTTCCTTTTTCACCGTGTAGACGCCCTCAAGCAGTCTGATGTGGGACTGGTTGTAGCAGAAAATCCGCTGGTGGTGGTGTACGGAAAGAGGGGAGGTGGGATTACATCTACATCCAAGGCAAACCATCTTTCTGGGAGTGTCGACATCGTTCTTATCGCTCATCCCAATAACGCTAACTTCCGATGCAACAAGGCCGTCCTGCCGCAGAACTTTCCGGAAAGGTTTTGGGCAAATGGGGAGCGGATTCCTGTCAACAATAGACCACGAGTGCGTCATGAACGACGTTCCCCACCTTGGGGCTTCTCGATCCTTCCACAACAACGTCGCCTCCTGGGGGATTCAATGGTGAGCCCCTGAGTCTTAAACACGAGCCGCTTGACTCCGCGACATCAGAGGCTAGTACGTGAAAAACAAAAACTTCATCCTCGTCGCCCATGAAATGCCGACTGGCGTGCGGGGTTTGGATATATCTCCTTTGATATATATATATATTTATTCCCAACTTAGTAGCACATTTGCGTGGATGGCGGTGGGCCGGGGGGGGATAGGGTGGGGGTTACTCTCCTCGCGTTGTGCATGCCTTCGCGGTGGTAGACCGTTGACCGCGCGTCCTCGACAGAACGGACCACGTGGTAGATGGGGGTGGGGTGTGTCTTCATGGGGGGGCGTATCGGCAGGATGTAAGAAACTATTTCTTGTATTGCGGGTGGTGTACGGGGGCTTGTCATCTTCCCTCAACTGAGAACACGCCCTCACCCTCGTTCGATGAGTGCCAAGTACCAGAATTCAACATGCTGCACAAGCCCTACCGTACCGTCATGCCTGACAGTTCTGTATCCTCTGTCGTTTTATGCATTCCCCAAGTTTCATGAAGCAGCAAAGGGACACCGTCATGACGCTTACCGCGGACAAGGGTGGTGTCCTCGAGACAGCACTGAAGTACGGCCGGAATGTGGGCTTGTTCATCACGGACCCAAAAGAGCGCGAAGGCATCATGAAACGGGCGGAGCGAGCATTCGAGGATCCCTGGAGAGTGGGAATATTTATGGTGCGCACCCAAACGATACTTGTTGTGCAAAAGCGACATGCATTGCGGCTTTCCCCTTGTCAGCACATCCATAGCACAGGTCCTCCCACCCAGTGAGTGTAGGTTGACTTGCTCGACTTTTTGCTTGCTAATGCCTCCGCTTTCCTGCCGTCGTTAGTATTTATTGTAGGAAAGTCGTGAGGGATACGTGCGATGACTGTGCGGGAAAGTTACAATACAATACATGCATATAGTCAATATGGATATGTAGTCTGCAAGTATGAAGCGAGATATGAGATATGCATGCAGGTTACGCGGTCTTTAAGCCCGCCAACCGCCGCTCCCGCTTTTCCTTTCTGAACTCCTGTGTAACTTGCTGCTTGAAATCTGCAAAGCGGAAATCACCGGCCACCAACTTCCACAAAGTCCGCCATGGAACGCTGCCGCTTGGCAATCCCTCGGACAACACCCCGCGAGGTATTTTCGACCAAATCGACACCTGGACGGAAAATTTGATTTCAGAGGGGAAGGATGGAGAACGCGCTAGGATCCAAGCGATGATGGAAGTGGCGTGTAAGGTGGCTTTTGACTTCCAGTGGGAAGTACGCCTGGAAGTGAGTTTATTTCAAGGAGTTGCCTTGCATATTTGCAATAATGTTGGCATGTGTGTGTACGGATGTCGGGAGTTGGGCGGTCATGATGGTTTCGCCTCTAAGAAACTAAGGCTTTCAACTGAGAAAAAACAATCGCGGTATCACCGAACCCTTGAGTGTGGGTAGCGTCCACCGTTTCATGCCGCAAATTCTCCACAGTAATTTGCACAATGTCTCCCTGGAATCTGTTGTCCGGTTGGTATGGTGCTCTACCCTCTTGTTCGTTAGAACCTTCTGCCTTCTCCTGTTCGTCTCCAACTCGTCAAACCCCAGCTCTGTCCGCATGTCGTGCCGCAGCCGCCGGAAGAGCTAGGCGTTAGTGTGGTTCTCTTCGCCTTGGATGCCCAGCGCTAAAAGGTGGTCCGACCTTCTCGTGTGGGGGGAGTACATCGTGTACGATTCGCGCGAGGGGGCCCATGCTTCGATGCAACCCGAAGCCGACGAGGAAAACCTCCAGAATGTGCCGCTCCCTCACGTCGCTGACACCCAACTGCTATGGCGGATGTGTAAGGAGGCCGAAGAGAGCGTCGTGTCCGAGGACGCTGGCCTCTAAGGGTTGCCAAATCTTGCCCGGCTTTCTACGCCTGGTGGGATAAATCCGGAGATAACATTGGAACCCACGAAGTTCGGAACAGGTGTGCACGAACTGACTCGAAGAGCGATCTAGTTGCGAAGTTCAGAGGAACCGGTTCTACTGAGTTCCCTGTGTTCCTCAAGGTGTTCCAGGAAATTGCTGCCAAGAACCGGGGTCGAGTGGTACACGTCCGACCACGCTTATCTGTCGTTCGCCCTGGATGGTACAATCGCCGGAAACGGAATCATCCAGCAACGACGAGGACGGTAGTCCCGAGAGCTTGTTGTTTTCCACACACAGGCAGTACAGAAAAGACGTCTACTGCCGTTTTTTTTTCTTGCATTTGTTCTTTCGCCTACATGGTTAATGACAACGGAGAGATGGTCGTCTTCAAGGAACAACAATTGCTCTCTGTGTCATTGGCGTGGAGACTGCTCCGGGGCTAACGGTACTGAAAGAGGGGAGGGGGTTGGGAGGGTGTACTATTTTTTTTTTGGGGGGGGGTACCTGGAAGAGAATGATTGAGTAAAGTCTACTGAGGAACTCACGAGTGCACCCTCAGTAGTTGCTATCAGGGTGTATATTTTTTATTGTTCATTTTTTGCCCGTCGACTAATTATGCATTGTTTCACGTTCACGTTCACGGGGAGTAGCAGCACGGTAAAGTGAATTGTAGGCGGCGGACACCTGTTTCGTGGGCAGTATAAACGTGCCATGTTCCAACGGTATCGGTGTGCGGAATGATTTTCTTTGTTGGACAGGCGTCGATTTACCCACAGCGAACGAGTGAGTGTGGTGTGAAGCGTACGCGTTGTTCGGAATGCTTGGCGGCCAATGCCATCTCCTCCCTTCATCGTTCCTGGTTCTTTGTGAGTGAGACCTCAAACTTCAGGGTTTGGACGATTGGTTATTTTCAATTGTAGAATACAAAACAAAAAAAGGAACTTTTTATGTGTTGGGTGGGCACTCTCTTCTACGGAAGAGGGTTGGACGGTGCAGTGAAGGCATGCGGAGAAAGCCTTGCCCGTGCGTTCTGGTCGCTTGGCTCCTTGGCTGTAACACTCTTCGTTGGAGTGTGTAGTAGTGATGTTATGGACGGAGCACCACTTGGTTGCTCCCGCAGGCTTCGGTTTCTTTGCCACATGGCCTTCCGGTGGCGATTGGTACAGTTCCTCCTGACATGTCCCGGTTCGTTGCACTCGAAGCAGATGGGGCCAGATGTCTTGGTAGCCATGGCGAATCCGCGTCCAGCGATTCGGCCCTTGGTTCTCTTGCGCATTTGCTCGTCAAGGAAGATGTTGCGCATGGTGGCTTGGATCTGTTGTTCGTCGAATGATGGGTCGCGGAAAACCATGATCTTCATGTCCTTGTAGTCCTCGGAGAAACCTTGCACACAAATGTCCTTGAAGCGGCGATCGGAGATGGTTTCCCCCAATTTCTCTAGTTGAGAGTGGAGGCGGTGTTTCTTGTTGAAAAAATCGTTCGGGTTCTCTCCTGGCTCCATGACCGTCCTTTCCAGGTCGTCCAGTTTGCCCTGATCACTCGATTTGTCACTCGATTGTAGTGGGCCTTCCGTTCGGCGAATGCTGCCTGTCCGTCGCCGCTAAGGCCGGTGTTGTCTTCGTGCTTGTGTACGGTTAGTGCAGCCGGCAGTTCTACGAGGCAGAATGGGATTGCGTATGCGTAGAGGTCTTCGTTTGTTCTGTCGTATGCGGCGAAGGTGGTGTCCGAGGGATCAGGCCTGCGCATTCCCTCGAGAAGTGGCATGATATCCCTCCGAGTAACGCCGACGACCACACCCAATTTCTTCATCCAGTCGTTGAAGACCTCTGGTTTCGTTCCATCGAACTTGGGGAGTCCTCTGATGACGTTTGTCAGGTTTGTGGATCCATCACTCCAGATGCTACCTCCGCCTCCAGTTCCCGATGTTGCTTCCATTTCTGGTTTTATCCCGATGATCTCGTCTTGCATATTTTTGTTCGTGTATTACTCAGCTATCTGTCTCTGAGATTCTTTCAGCCCCGCTCCTTCTATTGATATAGAGGACTCCAGTTGCCGATTCGCGACCCCGCTTCTGAAACCCTTTTCTCACTTAGATAGAGAATTGGTGAATATAACTCCGGTTGTAGGCCAATTTGCGACTCCGCCACACGTGCCCACTTTCGAGACCCTGGGCGGGGCCTGTAGGCCGTCTTACCCTGTGTACACCTTGTGTGCACCCTGTACATGGTTTCTGTATTGTATAAGGTATGAGTGCTCAGCCCTGTAGGGGTCTCATGTTGTACAGCCACCGTGTACGTGTCCTTGTACGGGGTCAGGAGCCTGTAGGGTTGGGTTAGGGTCAGGTCGACAGGGCGAAAGAATGTACAAGGTGTCCACGGCGACGCCTACAAGGGTGGCTTCCTATACAGGGTGAGCTGTTCCGGCCTTACCCTGGGCCAGGGCCCTGTAGGGCTCGATTACGCCCAGTGCGACAGGGCGCAAGAATGTACAAGGTGTTCAGGATTTGCTCTGGAGGTTTGGCTTCCTGTACAGGCAAGACTGTCCCGGCCTTATCCTGGGTCGAGGCCCTACACGGTTGGCTTATGGTCTGTGCGACAGGGTTCCGACCTGCTAGGGCTAGTGTCGTCCTTAACAAGGTCGGGGTCCGCCTTGTAAGGTGGTCTTTCTTGGGCTTCTCAAGGTACCATACTATGTAAGGTAGTATCCAGCCACTCCCTCACGTCACATTATTATAAGGGTGGTATCGTCGAACAGAATTTACACACCCCGCCACAACACGTTCTTTATAGGCGTACACGTCTGACGGCACGTCAAAAACGAGACGCTGTGGGTGGCGCTGGTGACAAGCTTAAACTACCACCGACCCCCGAGGGGCTGCCGGTGGGAGCGATACTTGCTTTCATATACCACTGTAATTGTTACCGACCGCAAAAATGATTGAACTTATCTTCCGGCGGACCATGTCGACATCGAGGGAAAAAATGTCACAATAACCTTTAACGTCCTTATCCTCTCTCTATATCTCTATGGCGAGGAGATAGGGGCACACGGCCGTGTATCTCATGATGAACAAATATATGCCCCGCCGGCTACATGTGTACATGGGCCACAAACCAAAACACTGTTTTCGATACGTACAATGTACACACCGGGCACGCGGTGGGGTCAAATATGAGCACCCCTCAAAACGCGAAGTGTTGATACGAATGGCCCGACAGCAAGAATAATTCTGGACCTGTTTATCGGAAGCCAAACTTGCCCTCGAGCATGACATGCTCTTCCAAGAGAGCTACATACATAAAGTGAGACAGCAGGGTACTTTAATCAGGTTCAGCAAAAAAGAAGAACGTCACTCGGCCGCTCACCCAAAATCAGTTGATCCGTGCTACCCCATGTAGGCCGGCGAAAGGATTTCAGAAACAACCACGCAGTCCCGCCCAACCCTCTCCCCCTCTCCCTCAAGCGCCCGCACACATCCCACACGCTGCACGCCGGCGCCCCATCGCTCCATCAACTCCATCCATCCCAAATGCTCAAGAAAACTCTACGTCCTCTCCGCGTGTGTCCGCGTGTATCCGGCGCATGCACATGACTAATAACTCTTTCCAATTCGCCGCAATGTGTTGATATTTCGTCTACCCCAACAAGTCTCCAGTGGCAAAGCGCACACTCTCTCCGCAGGGTTACCGCGCTGTACCTGCCGTCGGAACGTCGAGCGCAGGGGGGTTGTTACTGTAGGTCTCTCATTTTAGGGCAGGGAAAGTTGGGCACACATTTGGGCTCTGCGAACACAACCGTACGGCCTAAATGTTTACAAAACTTTAGGTTCAACGTCAAGCATTGATCTGTATGTACCCGGGATAAAGTTCAAGACAAAAGACTCTCGGTTGATGCTGTGGTGGAATTCATTCAAGAGAAAGCGGTCGCACGGCCCGTCTCCCGGCGACGCCAGCCTGAACTTGCGTCGCCACACTTGGCGTCCGCTCCGACCACATCGTTCAGGTCCACATATCCATTCACGATCGGCAGGCGGATGCTCGGGCCCTGGACAGCGATGGTACATGTGCACGTGCCGCCTGATTGCGGCTGAAGGGAACACCACCGGGCGCCGTCTACCTCGCAGGACCAAGACCGGGTGCAATGTGACGGGGTCGGGACTACGTTGGTTCCCAACACCGTCGGAGACGTAGTCGAACGCCAGCACCCACGATGTCAACGGGCGGTCGTGGGATCCTCGGCGCGTGTTCCCTCTGTGCTCGAAGAAATAGAGGATGCGCGCCAACGAAAGGCCCGACGCCTGAGCGGGTCCATCATGTACATCGTCGTCGAAGGGATGCTCCTTGAAGAATTCCACGTCCTCTCCACATCCCTCGCCCAGCCACCAATCCCCACCGGGTGCCGTTCGAGTCGACGCTTCTGACATCGCCCCCTTTCCACCGGCCAAGGCCGCTACTTGCCCGGAGAGGAGCACCGTGCTTGAACCGTGTGCAAACGATGTCCTTGTCGTCGAGCGTGGACGCGTTCAGCCAGCAGTCGGCACAGCGCGCTTCTTCGCATAACGCACCCCCATCCGCACGCCCGCAGCTGAAGTATGTGTTGTACGCCCCGATCAACGTCTATTCATCGGGACGAAGAGGGCCCGTGGCAATGCGGGACTCCCACCCGCCTCCGCCGGCGTCGTTACCCCTAGGCGACCCGGCCTCCCACAGCACGCTTGTCCAGGTTGCGGCGCCGGGGAACTGAGCAGCACGTTGAGCAGCCGTTGGGGTGCTAGCGGCGCGAGCGTCCGTCGGGGCGGAAGACAATCCCCCCGGCAGAACATGTCCCAACGACCGCAGCACCGCAGAGCAGCCGGAGCCAGCCTTGACGGTCTCCACTACATATTTCTTCAACCTGCGGTCGAATCTGGTGACGTCCCACGGAATTTCTTCAGCAAGAGCATCGATGGCGAGGTCCATGTTCAACCGGCGCACGTAGTGCGCCGCGGCGTTGCAGCCGCTGGTAGAATGGTTGACCTTCTTGTTCCTTTGGTGCGCAGCTTCGCCCGTGCTGGCATCAGGCATGTGGCCTGCCAACGCGTATATGTACGGATAAAACAAAACATGTCCCCACCGCATCACATAGGAGAAACGCAAAAGGGGGGGGTGGGGGATCGGCGTTCCACACGGATCGGCGATCAAATAACATTGCACGTACACGAAAATATAAAAAGGCGGGTCGATCTACTCGGACAGTCTCAAGACCCTGAGAAAAACTTCTTCATACATTCTCTCAACTCACCATGGTCTTCAATGGCCTGGACGTAGTGCAGAGCAGAGTGCACGGTCGTCCTCACGCCTCCCCTCCCTAGCAATTCCCACCTGCACCACAACACCAAAAAAAACAATAAAGGAAAGGCCATTTTACAATAAAAACTGGTGCGCACTTGAATGACATGATGAAAACTGCTGCGCTTGTTGCTGGCGCGAGGACTATGTACCAGCAGAAACTTTGGGTTTATACTTTATTCGTCGTACTCCCGGACCTGGGAGGACGATGTTTAAAACATATTATTGTGATCTACCGTCGCCCTCGTGTAGTCCATGGGAGGGGGTGTGTGTGCAACAAACACGAATGGGAACATTTTCGTAGGAGCAATGGTTACAAGAGACGCCGCGAGGGAAACGCCAAGAAGTGCGTGGGGATAAAACGTTTGTTCGAGCTTTTGAGAAATCCGAAAGTTCCACCAACGCAAAGGGTCTTGAACAACAAGCGGTAACAAATCAACGAGATGTTATTCGGGGCGGAGGTGTTAGGCCTCTGTGAGAAAAAGGTAACATTAAATTCAATCGGAATTCCGAAGTGCCAAGCCTAGGCATTCGCTGGTATATATATTGTAGAAAGGAGGATGGGCTAGGGTCAAAGCTGGGTAGACAACTTGCACGGCAATCTGTCAGACACGGTACGAAAATTGTCTCTGAAGGCCCTCACCATGTCCCGGGCATGCTCCATGAGCTCCTTGCGTTCAGCCTTATCGAAGGACGGCGATCGAACTGCGAACGTCAGAGCAGACGCCACTTGCAACAACTTCCGCAGTTGCGCCAACACGGCCTGCTCTCCTCCCCATGTGTCTTTCAAGGCTTGTAGTTCTCGTGGCTTCACGTACTCTTTCTGCGCAAGATGGACGCGAAAAGGTGAACAAAAAAAAAAAAGGTGCTTGGACATTGGTGGTTGTCCACATAGTCTCCGCAACCCTACGGTAGCTCATCATAACGCACCCGTCGACATTATCGTATATTTGCAGGGGGCCGCGGGCATAACATCTCAATCGTTTATTGGTAATAAGCAGTATTTTCACGGGAACCACGGCATATCGCATGAACCCGCAAAACAACCCGCACCCTCACGTGTAGGCAATACAGACCAATATTACCAGTGCTGTCGCGTCATGGAGGACACAGCGGGACACAAGCAGCAGGATCGATCCCAATAGCCACGTGTCACTACCCTTCAGGGAGGAATACTTGGTGCATATGTCTTTCAATGGTGCTGTAGCTGGTGGGTACAGCGTGCTGCCTTGCCGTAGGATGGAGGAGATCACTCCCCGGCCAGCTTCGTTCAGGAGGGCCAGAAAAAAAAACTACACCAACGTCTGCGCCCCCTGCGGTAAACAGTGTACAGGTCCAACACAACAAGGCGGGGGCACATTGGGGAAATCAACATGATGTACATTCATGTTATACTGCAATATCGCTGTGCTTTCAAGGGGTGCTTGCACGGTGGTATAATCAGATGAGGTTTCCCACGAGACACAACGTTCAGGCCGCTGAGACAAAACACATTGTATGTGCCCACATATATGCGTCAAACTTACATGCTCCCACAACGCTGTCTACTTTTGGACGCGAGGATGTCAGTTCTTCCAAATCTGGTATGTACCACAGTCAGTCCTTGATTCAGCGTCGGCGATCACGCAAGACCCCCCCGCGGGGCCCAGTTTTAGTGTCGTGGGGCGCCCATGTACCATATTTTTGCTGTTCCTTTGCGGCGTGGAGTACCTAGTTTTGTGACCACGGGTTCCCATAGATGTTTTAGAATCGAGAACTAATGTGAGAAAGAAAGAGAAAAAACTGGAACTGTTAGGTAGGGCCTAAAAGACAAAACGACTCACCAGCGCATCGGCATGAAGACTCTCGACGGGGACGTGCCGTGCAGGGTTTATAAACACCTTGTCCCACAGCGGGCGTCCGAGGACACCGCCGCTAACTCCCGTAGGCGCCATATTCCCAGTTCCGCCGAGCGCTTCGTCTGCTCGTTCGGGGCCAAGTCCAATGCCTGCAACTCGCGCCAGCCATCTTGGGCTTCCCCCCACGTCCGCCTGTTTGCCTCAACGTCGTGCCTTGCGTTCCCGAGGTCGCCGCAAGTTGGAAGACGTTCGTCTTGGTCGAACTTGCAATACGGGCACGGTAGCTTGGTGGAATTGTTGGGGTGCTTGCAGTACAGGAGCTTCGCTCTTTGTGGGGAGTCTGACACCCACGTGAGCGGACCCCCACGTAGAAAAATCTGAGATACGACATAAAAAAGCCATGTCACACCATGTCACAACATATCTGGTTGTTTCAGCGGGGAAACGTGCCACAGAGAGGGTTGAATCGTCGCACACAAAGCGAACTATATCGACGAGAGCAATAGACACCTTAGTGTACCAGCGAGGCGACAATGAAGCGTCATCACTGCGTTATAGTGCAATAAATACTTCACAAAAAACACCAACCTTTTCAAAGAAAAGCGTTTGATCCACGAGAAAAACAGGCACTTGAGTTCATCCACGAGGGGACAAAGAACGTCTTCGCATAATAATGCGATAAATGCTCTACAACAAACACAAATCCTCTCCACTGAAATAATTTGATGTATGCCAAATGTCAACCCACAGCACTTGCCTTGACGTCGAGCACTCGTCCATCCGCTGCAGGAACTCTTGCAGTCCCCTCACAGCCTCGCTGTAGCTCGCCCATTACACTTGCCTGTAGCGAGATCTCCCCCTCGACGCATGCCCCTGGAGAAGCGATGGTGCCGAGGAGTGTCTCGGAACGCCTACGTTGCACCTGATTGCTTGCCCACCCCCACCCGAAATAGGTGGCCCCCACAGAGTGCTTCCGAGCAGCGTATATGTAGGAGGCAGTAGGGAACGTATGTTAGCTCGTTATTTACTCGTTGCAGCAGCAGAAGCAGCAGCAGCAGCAGTTTTTACGTTGTGGGGCAGCGATGAACGAACAGGAACTCGGTTGTTGTAAGCATGCAACTCCCTGACAAATCCGAAGTATATTTTCATGATCCCAATTCTCACCGTAGTCGTGGAAAATCGAAACGCTGTTTTGAGATGCCACGGGGCGGTGTATAGTCATCTATCACGCAGAGCCGATATACTATCTGGCCTCTCAATTCTACCATAAGACGCGCGCCTGAGCACGCACGCGGTGGTTCTACACACGGAGTTGGATCGTACTCACCAAGGGAGCTAGCGCTAGACGCGCGGGGAGCGGGGGGTGTCGTACTACTGTATGTTTAAGATCAAGAATTACACCGGTTCCACATACCTTGATGGACATTGACCATGCGTTGAAGGCATCGTTGAAGACACAGAGCGGGATGCTCGCGAAGACGAGGTTTTTGGTGTTGTACCGGAATATCTTCTTTCGGATGCCAAACAGGGGCTCATCACCGGTGTCTTCCCTTGCCCACGGAGCTGACGACTCCACGAAGGGAGGCGGGCTCCGAAAACTGTCTCCTTGCCTTCTTCGTTTCTGCCGCTTCACGACAAAGTCCTCCCCTACGAAAGCATCCCAATCAGCCCAACGAACGCCCCCTTCCCACTCATCTTCGAGATGCATGGATCTGCACACACACCTCTTCGCGCGTGTATATTTCGCACAGGTCCTGGATGGTCGTGCTGTGCAAAAAAACCTTGGAGCTCGTGCCTTCCTCTTCCCACACACGTACAAGTCCCGGGATTCTCTCACCAACCTCATTCCGGTCCGGAAACGTCGGACGGCAACCAACAACGTATCCTGCTCCATATCCCAATACCATTCCAGCAGCCTAACTGGAACCGTGTTTCCGTCGCTCATGGTTACCATGACAACGTCGTTCACGTAAACCTTGCGGTTGCCGGTCCTTGCCCCCAACAGGCCATCAAACCAAAGAAAGGGGAGTCTCGAGCGAGTCTACCGTGCATGCTCGTACTCAACGCGTTGCCTGCCGGCTCTCTTGGCACCGAGAAAAGGTGATTGCTGCTCAATCCGTTTGGCTCTGCTTCTTCGGCTCTGAGCACTTTACCGCCCGAATTCTGCACACATGTCTCGACGAAAGACGGGGATTAACAACATATTCGCCTGATTGAGAGCGTAGCATCTGATTGAGAGCGAGATTGCGCGATACGCTGTAGCCGGACTACCACTGAGAGGTGGAGCTTGCTGTGTAGCTTGAATTGAAGGGCTAGCCCGTAGCTTCAAGCCGCTACCCTGGTCATCCTGTGGGAGTCTCTCGTTGTGGAGCTACAGCGGGGAGCAGAAGCTACAGCAGAGCCCACCGCCCGACGCGATACCGCCCTGAAACAGTTTGAGCAGAAATAGCCAATCTGGGCAAATCTAGCAACTTGTCTAGCTCCTCGCTGCAGCATCCGATGACGATGACACGCATATGCTCGCGAAGCTGCTGATGAGACCTTCAATTTGCACCGCTTCTTGGAATAGCCCGTTCCCTACTTGCCAAGAAATGGCAAGAGGCGTCTGGACCCGAAATTTCATTTTTTTTGGCTCTCGCTCTCAATCAGATACTTCGCTCTCAATCAGGCGAATATGTTGTTGATTGTATCTTACGGTTCACGAGCAGATTGCACGGTATATCATAAACAGGCACAGAAATTCCGTTGTCCTTCGAGGAGGGTACAAAGGTCTCGACTACCTCTAAAAGTGAGTGGGTGGTGAGCTCTTCGCCTGCCGTACAAGTGTACCTCACCCCGTACTACACGGGTGAGAGTTTTTTTTTTGTTTCTCTCCCACTATTGGACTCTGTCGCCTGCCCCTCTGGCCCTCATCCTCCACTTCTACTAGCTAGACGACCCAACCGGNCAAAGGTCTCGACTACCTCTAAAAGTGAGTGGGTGGTGAGCTCTTCGCCTGCCGTACAAGTGTACCTCACCCCGTACTACACGGGTGAGAGTTTTTTTTTTGTTTCTCTCCCACTATTGGACTCTGTCGCCTGCCCCTCTGGCCCTCATCCTCCACTTCTACTAGCTAGACGACCCAACCGGGGTCACATAGGAGTAATGACACCGGGCGTTCACTATGCTTTCTTTTACGCGTCCCGCGCGGTGCGTTTTGCCGCCACGGTAGTCGCGTATAGCTAAAAAGCTACATGAAACAGGCGATGTAGGGAGTGACCATTACCCGAGTAGACGCACCTGGAGGGGAAAGTTTTTCCCTCTTGTTGCCACGCGTTGTTTCGCATCTCTCGGCGAAGTTTCGTTTCTGTCGGCGACGACGACTACCCTGGAACGTACATCGTCGTGTTCGTTGATGTTGAACCAAAGTGGATACCCGGCGAGGAATCTCCCCAGCTTTTCAGTTTCCCGTGCACCACACGCATGCATCCCTCTTGCTCGCCCCCGCACCGCCGAGCTGTATACTAAACGCCCACTTCGTCAACCCCTGTTGTTGTTTGTTTTTTTTCCTCTTCACAGAGGGGCCGGCCATCGCCGACCCCGAGCTCCCCTCGGACGGAGAGGAGACGGTCGACCCTTTCGCTGGTCCTCTTCGCGTCGAGGAAACCCTCACCCCGGACGCCGACTGCTAGAAGGCGCGCATCGCAATATCTGTGCCCTCGAGTGTGTCGCCTATTGATGGCGAAATGGAGTGTTCGGATGTGACGGAGTTTTGCTTAGTAAGAGGCTATTTAGCACGGTTTTGGGAGGGGGAGGGGCGCGTGGGAGTTAGA